GCATCGTGAGCAACTTAAACACTTGCAGGAAAAAGTGGCATTTCAACACTTGTAAAACAAATAACTATTTCCTGGTAAGGTCCTGCAAAAAACGCTCGGACATGTCAAATTTAGTTTTTTCCAAGTATTTTTATATTTAGTATAATACCACTAGTGGTAAAATTTTATAAAAATGTTTTTTTTCTTGGAAATTTCACGAGCCGGTAGGCGAGTGGTATTAAATTAATGCCACGAGCGAAATTCCAAGGAAAAATCTGGAGTAAATAAAAATCAAAATTTTTTTCAGGGAAAATTTTATCACGAGTGGTTCTCGGCAAGACTATTTTACGAATATATTATTTAAATTAGAATTAACTGCCGATTCAATTTCTGTATGATTTTTTTTACCAGAACGCATATTTTTTGACATTTTTATTTTAAAATTAGAAACGTCAACATTGACAATTATTTTTCGCAAAGCAACCAATTGGTTAAACGAGTGTTTTTTTCGTAAGTGCATAAGGGCATCTAATTTTTCCAAAAAAAAATCAAAAAAACACTTTGCTAAGTAATATTTTAACAAGAAGCATGAGTGCTGATGGCAACAAAAATTCGAGTCAAAGACAAGGACTTTTGCACCTGCACGAATGCATTTTGTTAAAAAATATTATTTAGCATTGTGTTTTTTCACAGGAAAAATTAGATGCCTGAATGGTATTTGACAAGACTATTTCATGAGTAACAGTTATTCTGCATACACAAAGCTTACAAAACATACTACCTATTATGCATGCGTACATAATAAATATGTAAGTATTAATTTGAAAACTGAAAATACATTTAATGGATTTAAATTAACTATATATAGTTAATTTAAATCCAAGAAAATATTGAATGTATTGAACCACAAAAACTGTTGATTCAATATATATATGTAGGTATACTTTTTCTCTCAATGTACGAATGTGGCGCAAAAATGTTTGTGCTATCGGTCAATCGCAAACACTGATGGCATAAAAAATCACGACATGATTTTTTATGCCATCGTTTGGATATTCATTTTTGCGACACATTCGTACATTGAAAGAAAAAGTATGTTAACAATTGAATCAACAGTTTAACATTCAATATTTTCTTGGATTTAAATTAATTATATATAGTTAATTTAAATCCAAGAAAATATTAAATGTATTTAACCGCAAAAACCTTGATTCAACATAATTTTTCTCTTACTGTACGAACGTGGCGCAAAAATGATTATCCAAACACCGTTGGCATCGGTCAATCGCAAACAGCAATGGCATAAAAAATCACGACATGATTTTCATTTCTCACGCAGTGACATCCGGATGATGTCCGTATGAATAAAATTTGTGAAAATCACGACGTGACGTTCGTATGATTTTCATTTATTACGCGGTGAATTTCGTATGATATCAGTATGAATAAAATTTGTGAAAATCACGTGATGTTCGTATGAATATCACGAATGTTGTCAGGGTAGGTTTTAAATTCGCAGTTCGAAGAGCTCATACGCATGCGCAAATTTTGCAAATATCACACCGTGAGTTCTACATGATATCACTGTGATGAAGCATGTGTATGCACTCAGGATATCACAGCGTGATAAAAAAAAATCACGTTGTGATTTCATCATGACTTCACCAGGAAATCCCAAATGTTGTCCGGGCGGTAAAAACTCCAGGATTTCCTCTCGAAATACACCCAACAACACAACAAATCGTGCCAAGGTTTTTTCCGATATTTTTTTAACATTTTCCGGCTTTATTCTCAAAACCACTCGTTTGTAACACAAGCGTTTGACAGCTGATACTTCTTTAGCGTATACTTTTCTACGTTTACATAAAATACCATATAAAAATAATTTATTTGGGAGAAAGTGGGGTTAGATCGGTCTAAAATTTGTTAGATATTTAACAGAGAGATGTCGCCACCAGTGTTTATTCCGTCATCCGATGATAGAATAATTCATTTTGTAATACTTTAAGGAATATATGTCATTCCACAGTAAAAAGTGATATTAGAACGTTCATATTCCGTAACAGGAGTAGAAAAATGACATTATCGGACATTTCTTCATAGAATGCAATTTAACGATGTGGAGATATTTAGCTCTATTAACTGATAACGTATCCAAATGACAACAGTATATGGTTTTAACGGGGCACCCCCTCATTTTGGATGATTTCAATAGACCTATCCCATAAAACAGACTTTTGGATAGCGCGTTCCTGAAGAAGAGTGTTATCTCTTTCTCTTTTATGTAATTAAAAAAAGACGACGTGCCTTTTCACGCACGCGCTATCCAAAAGTCCGTTTTATGGGATAGGTCTATTATGTAGACAAAATAATGCTACACATTTTGAGCATTTAAGAGGCTAAACATTTACCGTTTAAATTATTTTCCTAATAGATGTTGTTTCTCTAAATAGAAATATTGGTTATGTAGCAAAATAAAGTTTTGTTACACTAAAAAAATGTTCAGCACTAGGCACTCTCCGGTAATTTAAAATACTACACATTTGTATCAACTTGTGACACACACACCGATTCTTGTTGATGAAAAATATTATTAGACCAGTGCAGAAGCCTTTAAAAATGGTAAAAAGAGAAAAAAAATAACAGTAGGATGAAACCCATTGGAAAAGGAGGGGAATATAATAAAAATTAAAGGAAAAATAAATTACGGGCGATCTGAGTTCGGGAAGTGGGAGGGGGGGGGTTTAAGGGTAAAAAATGGTTTATCTCGATTTCCGGCAAAACTACAAGTCCTATGGAAAAAGTTAAATGTCAAAGTTGTAGGTAATAAAAAGATCTACAACTTTTGTATTTACAATTTTTTCACATAACCTCAAAATTTATGTGAAAAATTCAAAATTTGAAATATTTATTATTTTGCCTTATTTTGACTTAATATCAAAAAAGCACCCTAATTTTCTATCGAAAATTCTCGCGTCAAAATATCAGCTTTTTTCAAAAAGTCGGTGTGCTTTTTGTTCGATGAACTCTCTAATTTCTGATGGTGTAAAAAAATATATACATTACTATGGTAAATGTTCTCAGAAAATACAAAAAATATTATAATGAATAACGTAATCAGAATGAAGTATCTAAATTCAATATTATGATTTACATTTATTTTTATATTTTATGAGATTTTCTGACATAAATGTTATTAGAATTTAATAAATAAACTTTTTAACTAAAAAAAAATGCAACAATCACATTTTTTTGATGAAATTGTACATAATGATTAAAATAAATTTTCGAATTCGAGTTTTTTTCGTTATTCATTATAATATTTTTTGCATTTTCTGAGAACATTTACCATAGTAATGTATATATTTTCTACACCATCAGAAAGTAGAGATTTCAACGAACAAAAAGCACACCGACTTTTTGAAAAAAGCTGATACCTATTTTGACGCGAGAATTTTCGATTGAAAATTAGGGTGCTTTTTGGATATTAAGTCAAAATAAGGCGAAATAATAAATATTTCAAATCAAATAAATTACAGTGTATTTGGGACATAAAAAGGTAAGTTTTCACCAAATTTCGTGGAAAAAAAATTTTTTTTTAAAAAGATAAAAATAAATAACCAAAAACTTGGTTTTTTGAATTTTTCACATAAATTTTGAGGTTATGTAAAAAAATTGTAATTACAAAAGTTGTAGATCCTTTTATTACCTACAACTTTGCCATTTAACTTTTTTCCATAGGACTTGTAGTTTTGCCGGAAATCGAGATAAACCATTTTTTACCCTTAAACCCCCCCCCTCCCACTTCCCGAAGTCAGATCGCCCGTAATTTATTTTTCCTTTCATTTTTATTATATTCTTCTCCTTTTCCAATGGGTTTCATCCTACTGTTATTTTTTTTGGTTTCAAAAATTATCGACCCTGGTCTATATTTCAAAAAGTATATACAAAAGTATATAGTATATATGTATACTTATATAAGTCTAGACATACTGAATATGCATATTTTTAAAATAAGAAATTGATGGTCTCTCCATTTCTGAAAAAAAAATTGGGGGTTGCAATTTAAAAAAATTAACAGTCACGTCATTCTGTAAAAGGGAGGAGGGGTAAAAAAAATGTTAAAATAGTCCTTGGCAAAAACTAAATTTTACTTGACTTAGCGTTTTTTGCAGGACCTGACCAGAAAAAAATTATTCCATACTTTTGCCCAACCCTGTATATACAGTGTGTCTGGTTAAGTTCGCACCATATGGAAAACTTTTTTATTATTAATGTTACGAAAAAAGTTATTCCTTAAAAAAAGTTCTGCATGGTCTAAAACCTATAATGCAACCATCAAATTTTATTTTTTTTAAGTCATATACGAGGTTTCTAAATAAATATGTATTTGGCTCAAGAGTAAAGTACCTTTATTTTTGACAATATTGAAATGCAATTTATTTAATATTGTAAACTAGGTTAAAATTTACACTTTATTCATTAAAAATTTTATAACCTATACGTCTCACCCTCTATGTTGCATTATTTTGAGGATGCATTGATACATAACAAAATTATTTATTTTACAATAATTATCAACTAAAATACAGTGCTAATAATGTTAACTGAGCAATAAGCGTGTAACAGTTTTTCATCAATTCACTATTGCTTCTATGTATCCCCCTTCTCTTACAATACAGGTTTCCGTTCTAGAAGAAATTTCAACCTAATTTACAAGTTAAATAAATTGTCTTTACAAAAATTTTCGATATTGACAAAAAAAGGTACTTTGCCAAATTCATATTTTTTTAGAAACCTCGTATACCAGTAAAAAAAATTAATACCTGATGGTTGCATTTTAGGTTTTAGACCAGGCAGAACTTTTTATAAAGAACAATTTTTTTTCGTAACATTAATAATAAAAAAGTTTTCCATATGGCGCGGACACACTGCTATTTAAAATTTAAATGAATGAACATAGATGAATTTTACTTTTTTTCTTACAAAAACTGAAAAAAACAACTTCTGGTTTTACTTACTCTGTGTGATCAACTGTTTGATGAAAATATCTCTTTTGGTAATTTCTCTTCTTAAACTATCGGGTCCGTTACCATCAGGTACCGGGGACCTGGATAGAACCTGCGCAGATAACAAATCGACTTGTTCGCGCAATGCCCTATTTAGTTCGGCGTATCTTCTATTGTCCGTTTGTAAACGACTTCTTGCCGCCCTCTCCAATTTTTCCCTCCTTTCGCAAGATTGCACCAACTCTTCTTGGGCTCTATGCACTTTTTGAATCTCATGTTCCAACTAAAAAGAAACATGACTTTCTAACAAACGACATTAAACTACAACCAAGATTTATACCTTTTGTGTTTTTTCGACATTTTGGTAGCATTTCTCAAGTTCGTTTTTTAAGGCACTATTTTCTTGAATTAATATTTGCACCATGTCTGCAGGAGACCAAAACTCCTCCCCATTAGATTCACATTCCTCCCGACCTTTTGTGGGAGGTCTTGGTGCGGAAACACCCCTCCTAAATCCGGCAAAATCTGAATTCTTTCGGACTCCCAACCTAGACAGATCAGGTTGCGATTTCGACAAAGCGAACTTCTCGACCTTCATCTTGTGATTTTTGTTTACAGCTGCCACCAAGGGTGATTTATCCGACCATTTCGGGTATTCTGGAGGAGGAGGCAAATTGTTAATATCGAATTTGGTCGGGTCGAACTTTAGGTTTTCTATTGTCTCCTTTGAAGTCGAAGGAACTTTTATATCTTTGGCTAAATGTTTCAATACGGAAGACTGACTAAGATAATCGTCGGGGATTTCAGTGATCTCCTGCACACCGGTGCTGCCGATAGATGGGGACGGTGATGCTGAACTTCTTTTTTGGCTGGGCGACTGCTTTGGTTCGTTGTAGACGGCACCGTTTGAATGGTGTGAATAGTTTAAGGGGGACATGTTTGTTGCTTCTCTTGGCCCAGAATTCCTTCCTATTTAATTAAAAATTATCGTAAATCCTTTAAGTGAAAGTGAGGTTCTTGTTAACCCAAAAAAGGGTAAACAAAAAAATTAAGCCATCAACAAAAAGACACTAATAACACGAAACAAGTCAAAAATTCCGTTGGACATTTTTTTGTGTGCGAATATTTTGGCCTGGGCCCTATGCGTCAAAGTCGATTTTTCACTAAAATGAGGTCAAGTAGCATGCTAATCCTATTTCCTATTCGAAAATATAGCTCTTAAAATAGGAGAAAATAAAAAAATATGTAAATTTTAGATGATAAAAAATCGAAATAAATTAAATTTATCCTTAAGTTTTAAAAAAATCATAGAATATTAGCAGGTTTCTTAATTTTAGTGAAAAATCAACTTTGTTGCATATGGATCAGGCCAATATATTCACATTAAAAAAATTTGTTTACTTTAAAAAATGAGTATGACCACGTGTTGCATTTTACCTTAAAGAAATATTAACTTTATTCACATATTGTCCTAGTAATAATATAAAAGTCAAGGAAGTCAAGCCACAAATCCATAAACCCGCGGATCTCGCGAAAAAAACGGGCGCAGATTTTCAGTCACAAAAAAGTAACATTTTTGGTTGTTACTTTTTTGTTTTTATATCTTTAATAAAGATTCTCTGTATAATATATTCAGTGGCGTAGCTAGAGGTCACGGGGCCCAAGAGCAAAATTTTTTGGGGCCCCAAATATTTTTCCCCCAAGAAAGGGCCCGCTTATTTTTTGTTTTGGTTCAAGGCCACACAAATCTGCCGACTTATACAATCAGATAATGGTTAAACTTTTATTCTTATACTAAAAACCATAAAAACCTACAAACATTCAATGCAAGTCTAATAAAAAGGTAGTAATCTAAATATAAATAACATAATATATAATAATATACAGGGTGTTACTTAAATATGTACAATAAATTTAACAGACGATTCTTGGAGTGATTTTAACACAAAAAGTTCATATAAACATGGGTCCACTAATGCTTCGGGTGTGGGTGGAGTCTCAAATTGGGAAAGGTATTAAGGAAGGCTTTGAGTTGTTTGCTTCTGTTGGCACTACTTAGGTTAAAGTCTCCAATTATAAGAGCATACTTTTTGTGGAAGCCATGATAAAAATAGACTGTTCTATGAGAGATAAGTGGTGGATGTAGACAAGAAATATGTAAAGGTGGTCATCTTTAAAAGGAATTGAGAAATGCAAACAATTATTCCAAGGATTGTTGATATGAGGTGAGTTTTTTTTTCGCATTTTTAGTGAAGGGTGAAACATAGCCAGGCAGCCTCCTCTTGTGTTGAGATTAAGAGTGTTTCCGTTTTGCCGAAGACTGTTCCGGTTCCTATAATTGGTATTGTCATTCTCTTTAGTTTTGGTTTCCACGAATAGGTGCCGCTTATGTCATAATTCTCGATAGTGTGAAATGTGAGGTGGTTTTTGGACATGAAATTGTTTATATTTGAGTATAAAAGGTTACTGTTGTGCGCGAACTTGTCCATTATTTTTTCAAGGGATTACATCGGTGGGAGAGTTATAGTCATCAATATCAAGATGTAGGATTAGAATGTAAATCAAATTATTTCCTACAAAGCTTATTGTGATTTAGATATTAAATTTTTTGACAAATATTTCTTTAAGTTTATGGATAATGTCTTCGCGAAGTGTAGAGTTTAATTTTATTAGATTGTATTTACAATATGGTCATGATGTGAGAATGCACTCGGGATTCTTTTTTTAGCGTTGTCTACCATTGTTGATTTTTTATTTAAAGATTTAACCGAAAGATTCGGTATAACTTCAATAGGTTTGGTGGGATGGTTGGGGCATTGAAAAGACCAAGCTTGGTTCTTACTTGAATTACAGCTCAAACATTTAGGGGGCAGCTCAGAGGTGCATTTCAAGGTAGAATGATTTTCACTGCATTTCAGGCACTTTATAGAAAAACAATTTAAAAAAAAAGTTGAATACCCTTTATCTTGAAAACGAAGCATTTGCGGACCCCTGTTTATATAACAATTTTGTCTTAAAATCACTCAAAGAATCGTATGTTAAATTTATTGTACATATTTAAGTAACAATTTGAATAACCCAAAAAATTTCTTTGTTGATTTTTTTAGCAATATAATGCCTATAATATTTGGCATTGCCTGGCCATAGCTACACCACTAAAGATATTATATAAAAGGGGTTGATTCCTTTAAAAAATCCAAGACAAAATTCGAATTCGCAAAATTGCAGAAGTTATTTTATTTTAAAAGCCACAAATGAGAGCGAAGTGTCGGATGAGTTTTGGTATTAAAAAAAAACAAAAACAAATTAGGTGCGTATCGCAAACACACTGCGCTTTCATTGGCGGCCTTAAAAATTAAATAACTCCTGCAATTTTGTGAATTCCAAAAAAGTAGTAAAAGAAAACTTGTCTTGATATTTTATTCCTATAGGAATAGGAAGAATTAACTTTGAGGCTCCTATTTTTGAACACCCTCATTGGTGGCCTTAAAAATGAAATATCTCCTGCATTTTTTGCGAATTCGGAAAAATGGTAAAGGCATAGATACACATACTGCAAAAAATATATACACCATGATATGTCGTCCCATCCTGAAATTTGGTAGTATCTTATTCATGAACAGCACCAAAACCTGCCTTAAAAAACTGGAAGGTGCAGAAACAACAGCAATCAGAAAAATTACAAAAACCCAACTCCCCAACAACCCCCTCCATAACCCACCAAACACCCTCCTTTATGATATTATTAATATTCCCAATATCCTTACACGCATACAAGAACTCTCCAAAAGATTTAAAGAATCAGAATCTAACATCAAAAATTTAAAAACAATGTGCATCAATCTGGGAGATGAACAAAGAAGAAGCAAAAACCCAAGCCTCACCTTGTGGGAATTATTAAAGGAATAGCATTCCCCTTTTTATTGGTCCAAATATATGAGTATTATGATACAATTTGTTATTTTTTTGGCCGTTGCTAGTCGTCCGTATAATCGGACGAATAAAATATATTAATCGTCCGATTATAATCGGACTCAAACTCAACAACACAACCCAACCGACCCCGCCCCATTGGCCCCCCCCCGCCCCATTGAACAAAAAACCCAACTAAAATGGGCAAATTTATGTTACGATAAAAATAAAACACTTTTTAACAAAGCAACAACAAATTTATGAAATAAAAAAAGTTCGACAACTTCTAGTAGATTTTATGTTACGATAAAACTAAAACAAACCAACCAACCCAACCCAACCGATACTGTTTAACAAAGAAACAACAAATTTATGAAATAAAAAAATAAAAAAAATTCGACAGCTTCTTAGTATCGAACCCGGGACCTCTCGCATGCCAAGCGAACGCCCTACCATATAAGCTATCTAGCTTGTTGTCAAATATTAAACGGTCGGTGAACAAAAGCGGATTATAATTATGACGTAACTAACGTGCCTTTAATATTTTCAAACGCGGTACGTTAGCGTGCCTCTAGTCACTGTGTTTTTTGATTTGGTCAAAATTGTTTATTCTTAAATTCTCGGAGGACTAGCTTCATTTTATTCGTCCGATGATCGGACGATTAGACAATTCGTATTTTTTTTTTCTTTTTTTATATAAGTATGTACATACATTTTTTTATATATGTATATACCAAAACATTCAATGTTTAACATTGTATAGAAACATATTATTTGTTGTAAACGGGCAGAAGGACCTAAGTCAATAGCCCTTTGGTTATCCCAATAAAGACTTTTTTTTTGGCAAAGGAAATAAAAGCTACTTACCAGTCCATGGCTCATCACCAGCACTGTGTATAATTAAGGTATTATAAGAAGAAGAAGACACATCCAAAGAGCTACGATTAGATGGTAAACTATCTCTTAAAGAGCTTCGGTTTGAAGCCTGTAAATTTTCTTGCCCTTGTGGTTCCTGTCTAGGAGTATGCCTTATAACATATTTTTCTTCGTTTGAAAGATTTTCATTTGATGTTGATACATCTGTTTCACTACCACTTAAACTTGGTGGAAAATTACCTAAAAATACTAGTTCAAATATTTTTCTATATACCTAATTAATAAAATTAATTTACCTGGTGTAACTTGCATAAATGAACGAAATCTGTTTGACTGTTGAAGAGAACCCATTGTAATTGTTATGTTACTTAATGAAAATCAATTTGCATTATATTTACTTATGTATTTTTATGCAATTTATCTAAAAATAAGTAGTGTTTATAATCTTTCCTTGTTAAACAAATCTACAAGTTAAACAGTTTGGGGTCGAAAGGTTACAAATTTTTTTTAAAATGCAGTGTGTAATGCAAAAATTATTTCAGGAATTTTAATGTGCAATTTTTAAGTTATTAGTTCATTGTTAACCATATCGACTGGTTAGAATCACATATTTACCAACAGTATTACAGAAATAAATAAAAATCCACACAAAAGCACAATAAAGTAAATTAGATCGGAATTTCAGAAGCAAACAAACTTTCACAAACTTTAATAAAGATGTATACAGTGGTAAATTTTTATCTCCACTTCAAAATAAACACTTACAGAAGTTAAATAAATCAAGAAACTTTATTTTGGAACAGTTTTTTTCATATTTAACAAGAAATAATTTACGGGTTACAGACTTCATACGCAAAATGAGAAATTTCTAAATGTAAATTGTCCGCAAGATGGCATATGAAATACATTCCGCAAATTCCATTCTCGTTCTACTACCTGAGTCAAAAACCTCAAAAACATTCGGAAGAAATGTTTTAATGTGTCCCTCAAATTCCCGGAAAATGTTGAAATTCAAAAACTTAAAATGGTTACAATCTGTGGTTGAAATCACGGTATATTGCACAGAACATAAGGTATACTTAGAACTAAGAAGGTATATGATATTCCTTTTTTCTGTCAGATGTGACATGTGTCAAATATTTAATAAAAATGTTAAAGGTATTTGCCCTAAATTAAAAATCAAGGACCAAAATTATTAAATTAAATTAAAAACAGATTACCTTTTAGATTATATTTTACAGTTTTGGGTCCAATTACTTGCATTTTATGGAACAAAAAAAGTAAAGCGCTGAAAAAACAAAAATAATTGAATCGCTGTGACTAGAGGCACGCTAACGCACAGATTATAAAGGTGCCGCGCATGGAGCCTACTGTAGGCTGCCTCAGGCTGCCTACACAAGGAGCCCGAACTTAATAGGGAAAATTGACAAAACCTGCCCTCTAAATTGCACAAATTAAGTCTTTTTTTTCACCACCTGCGGTGCTGATTGTGCTCTTTTGGTAGCGTTTCGGTACAAATTAGTCAACTGTTTCAGAATAAACGGGACACCAGCGCCTACTTTCTTTAGGAAGATTCTTGTTTACATGCAGTTACAATAAAACTTAAATGTTGTAAATTAGCTATAAACTTAATATAATAAATATAATTCGAATAAAATTGTTTTTCAGAAGTAGAAAAACACTTTTTACAATAAAATTAAACAAAACATGTCAAAGTGAAGTTTTTTTATAAATTTTTATTCATAAAATTAATATTCTTATCAAAAAATTGTTGTTTGTCATCCAATTATGGAAAGAATAAGTATTATAGATCGGGAAACGTCTTTAATATATACCCTAATTTGTCCACTGAAGATGCACAATTTGTGCAGCACAAAGGGTGTAGGAAGATTCTTGTTTACATGCAGTTACAATAAAACTTGAATGTTGTAAATTAGCTATTTATAGTTTATAAACTTAATATAATAAATATAATTCGAATAAAATTGTTTTTCAGAAGTAGAAAAACACTTTTTACAATAAAATTAAACAAAACATGTCAAAGTTAAGTTTTTTTATAAATTTTTATTCATAAAATTAATATTCTTATCAAAAAATTGTTGTTTTTGTTTGTCATCCAATTATGGAAAGAATAAGTATTATAGATCGGGAAACGTCTTTAATATATACCCTAATTTGTCCACTGAAGATGCACAATAGAGTAATTGCATCAAAAATGAAAATCCCTAAAAACCTTTTTATTGTAATCTAGAGGTAAAAACACATTGCGAAAATATTTTTTTATATTCCAAAAGTTCAACCCGGGCCCAAAATATCAAATTGAAAAAAAGGTACTTTTCAAACGTTCCGAACTCCCGCCAAATTGCATGACGTCATAAGCTCCAACTGTCAGAAATCAAGATGTCAACAAATAATAAACACCGATAAAGTTTAACATGGAAAACGCGAAACCAAAAATTGGTTGTAAATATTGTTTTGTGCCTTGTACAAATACAACCTGGAAAACTCCTGGGAAAAGGTTTATCACCGTGCCAAAAGGGAAAATAAGGATAAAGTGGATTAAAATAGCTCGGCGCGATATCAAAACATCGTCACCGCAGTCAACATTTTATTGATCATTTTAAGGATCCTTTTAATGTAAGTAAAATAAAATGTCGTTTACTAGGTATATGGTTTGAATAGGTATGTTAAATATTAATAAACCCAAGAAAATACGGCTGAGCCGTAACTACTCTCAGTGTAGGGTCATAAACTTTGCTTTTGATAATTGAAGGGACAACTTTCCCAGGAGTTTTCCAGGTTGTGTTTGTACAACAAGGCACAAAACAATATTTACAACCAATTTTTGGTTTCGCGTTTTCCATGTTAAACATTATCGGTGTTTATTATTTGTTGACATCTTGATTTCTGACAGTTGGAGCTTATGACGTCATGCAATTTGGCGGGAGTTCGGAACGTTTGAAAAGTACCTTTTTTTTAATTTGATATTTTGGGGCCGGGTTGAACTTTTGGAATATAAAAAAATATTTTTGCAATGTGTTTTTACCTCTAGATTACATTAAAAAGGTTTTTAGGGATTTTCATTTTTGATGCAATTACTCTATTTGTGCAGCACAAGGGGTGTAGGAAGGTATTATCCATAAAGCCTGATTACCCTTACGGAAAAACACTGTTAACACTGCACAACATTATGCAACACTACTTTTGAATAATGTTTTCGTTAAAAGTGTTACATAGTGTGACCAGTGTTGTTTAGTGTGGCCAGTGTTGTTTAGTGTGACCAGTGTTGTTTAGTGTGACTATTGTTGTATAGTGTGATTAGTGTTGCAGTGTTAAGGTACGGTTTCGTTGATGCGACTCGCGGCTGCGGCTTGCGGCTGCGATTGTAGCCGCGCCACTGCTGAGTACAATTTGTGTGTATGTGTTTTGGTTGGCGCGTTCAGTCGCAGACGATCACGATCGAGCTGCATCCGTTGCGACCCGACTGCTACATAGACCAGTCAAATCGCAGTCGTCTGCGATTGTAATTAAAAATGGCTAAGTTTAATGCAACTGAAGATGAAATTTTGGTAGAAGAAGTTCAAAAATATCCCTCTATTTTTGACTATGAAAATGAAGCCTGCAAAAATATAGTTATTAAAGAGAATGGGTGGAAAAATATATAGCATTTTCTGTAGGAAAAAATAGTAAGTATATAGTTTTGAATTTGTCGTCATAAAAACCACAAAAAATATAAATACCTATATAAATTTCAATTTGAGATTCATATTTTATTTTAAGAACATAAAACAATGGGGACGTAGTGCACAAATATTTTAAGATAAATATATATATATATAATAAAAGTGTATGTAGTAATAATTTTTTATGTTATATGAAAACATTTACAAAAACAAATAATTTCAAAAACATTTCATTGTAATAAAAACATCAGTAATAACAATAATAATAATAGCACATTAATTAATTTATACATTACTTATAAATTTATTAAATTAAATAAACTTTTCATATGACTTTTAAGAAAATATTGTTTATTTTCCTTAAAAATATATATATCCACGACCCTGTACAGTTTATGAAAAAATAAAATATTTATTCGAAACAGAAAAACCTATTCTAAAAGTTGGTTGATATAAAACATTAATCAAAAACAAATTTTTATATAAAATTAAATATTATTTATATTAAAAATAATAAATAAAAACAATTTGTTTTATTCCATGAAATATGAATACGTTTGCCTTTAAAACTTTTATTAGGTATTTATTAGGGTGGTTCTTAATTGACCGATGTCGAAATTTTAATCGTGCCGCCCCCTCATTTGTTTTTAAAAAATATAAAAAGAAATGTGTGCCAAATGTGAATGTCCTAACTTATTTCCTTCTATTGCCTGTAACAAAGAGAAGTTTTCCAGATAGAGGATTTTTGCCTTTAAAGTATTATTTTTTTTTAAATTACTATTAATCTATGAAAAAGTATAATTTTTTGAGAAAATGTAGAGGATATAAGTTACTTTTACAAAAAAAAAAGAAATCATGTATTTTCATCCTAAGGTCTTTTTTTACTTCGCTCGATTATTACTTAAAGTTTTTCATATACCTAGGGGATTTTTGCTTTAAAACACAATAATTTTATAAAATCATTAATAATTAATGAACAATTCTAATTTTTTGAGGAAATGAAGGGAAAATATCGTACTTTTAAACAAAAAAAAAAGAATTCATGTATGTCCATCGTAAGGTCTTTTTTACTTCGCTCAATTATTACTATTATTGTTATTTTATTGAAAATGTCATAAAAAAACAAAATATCAGTGATAATTTGCATTTAATGCATAATTAGTGTGTTTTGAAAAGTAATTTTGTACTTTTCTAATGTTGGTGCTACCTAAATATCTTTTAGGCAATCGTAAATTATTTGTTTTTTAAAAGGAGTGCAGAAGAAGGATATTTTAATTTACTTATAAGTACGATATTTTCCCTTCATTTCCTCAAAAAATTAGAATTGTTCATTAATTATTAATGATTTTATAAAATTATTGTGTTTATATATAAACTCCCATTTAAAAGATGTTAAAAAATTTAGAGACTTTTTTCATCTTCTTCTTCTTCTAAGAGAATTAGTGTTAAAAGATCGTTGTCCATGTTATTTGTAAATCTAAGCCAAATCGCATAAAACTAGACACATCAACGAAAACACCCAATATTGCGGCTGCGACTGCAATCAATTGCAGTCGCAAGCCGCAGTCGCTCGAGTCGCATCAACGAAAACACCCAATATTGCGGCTGCGACTGCGATCAATCGCAGTCGCAAGCCGCAGTCGCTCGAGTCGCATCAACGAAACCGTACCTTTAATGGATAGCGCGTGCGTTTTTTCACGCACGCGCTATCCAAAAAATCCGATTTATAATATTATTATAGAGTCAATCCAAATGAAAACACCAAAAATGAATTTAAAAGTGCGCTGCATGATTTTTTATTGTAATGAAAAAATTTGAGGATGATCTTTTAGGTGTCAAATATGAAAATCCGTTGCCGTTTTAATTTTTTGTTACTTTACTTTTATTTGGCACCCCTTAGAAGTCTGAAATAGTGTCAATTTCTTACTCTCTTATAGTGGGCCAGAACTTTTTTTCTGTGACAAATATTAAAATAATTTTAATTTTGTTTTACTGTTCAGTAAGTGTGTTTTCGATATTTAATTATTATTATCCAATTAGATAATCTCATAAAAGAATGGTAAACCACTAAAGATTCATGATAATTTGCCAATTTTTGTGATTTTTGTCTGGCTCCTGTGCCTATTCTACTGAATTTAGAAGGTTCATTTTTTTCAGTTATAAAGTACTTATACAATAGAAAACGTAACTATTATTTTAAGTTTCTAGACTATCAATTTCTTTATTAAAAAAAT